AAAATAAGATTATCCGTTGAAAATACAGATTCACCAAACTCGATTACAAAATTAGGCAAACGATAAGGTTTTGTCGATTTTTCTTTTGGCATATTGATAGAGTGACAAAAATTAAACACACTAACGTAATATGAAAATTAACCACGAAACTTTAACACACACGCGGTGAATGTTCTAGAACTAATGCGAATCTAATCTACCCACTGACTGTAGACACTTGATACTATCGTGTTTATACCACGTACCTACTATTCGTTAAAAATACAAAAATAGACATAATAAATACCTACTGACCATTATTATTATTTTAAGATAATGTTTATCTTTATCGTCTTTAAGAGTTTATAACAATTGTTGACCTTAGTTCATGAAAAATATTCACCAAAGCGCTTGATTTCGACAAACCATCAAAATATGCACTAAAAGCTTAAAATATGCTCTTATAATCAAAAATATGCCCCTTAAACCAAAAAATGTCCAAATATGCAAAAATATGCACTAAAAACATGGAGTATTTCATCATAAACGTTATGAAATGTATTTTGTACTTAACAAGCATACGATAAAGTTAACCAGAAAAAATATGCAAATGCATGAAAGTCCTTGCTCTACTGATAATTATTTAACACTTGTTATTATAAATACGGACAACGCGTAGTCTTGAAATTAATCTGTGTGCTTTAGAAGCTGATCGAGTCATCTATAAAATTAAACGAGATGTTCGAGAACATTTTAATTTTCCATTTTAGGATTTACTCAAAAAACTTAAAAACGTAACGAATTGATCTCAAGAAGGCAGTAAAATAGGTAATATCTAATGATTAATGAAACAAATTTAGAACGATCATTAAGTCGAATTCGTAATAATATTTACTAAAAGTTAAAATATGAATGAATTAAATTTGTTTGATTCATGATGAGCCACTCTATTGGCGGAAAAGATTAACAGCAATTTCTTGATTCTTGGACAAAAATAATAACTATGGAATTTTAGTGTTTACTGTAAAGCTATGTTTTAAAGCCTTATCGTTATCAAAACATATTTATGGATGGTACTGTTTTAATCAATCTACGAGATTTTAAATCATATTATTCATATAAGGAAAAATAAATTACCAATAGTAGGTATATTATTATGCTTAAAACAAGAAATTTATAAAAAAATTCCTATTGGAGTTATATTATTGTTCGGTTAATTAAAGAAATTTTAATTGATTTCATACAAGTTGTAGTAAAAACAATTAATAATGTATTTGAAAATTAAGTCACAATCCAGTTACCTATGTTATTTTTATTTAAATCAGTCTATTTGGAGAAAATTCCAAGAATTAGAACTTATTAGTCAATGAATATAAAGAAAACAAATTATTTAAATAAGCCATAAAATTAATTAGTGCTTTGTCATACTTATCGGTGAATATGATTAAAAAAGGTATTAAAATATGAATTTTATTTAATTGTATGAATATTTTAAGAATATCTTTAGACTATATATTATATATTATTTGTATGATAACTACAATTACGATTTAGACATTAGATGGCATTCTAATGTATATCAATCCAGCGTACCTATGTCAATGGAACTTAAAAAGCAACAATTACAGAATTTGAACAATGTATTTGTAACGCCAAACACAAATTTCTCTATCATATTTATGGAGCATAACAATGCGTTAAATAGAATTATGCCCACACTTTAACATATTGAAAGCTTTTAACAATAAATTTCAACATATTGTCTGGATTAAACATTCAAGTAATAATATTTTTATTGAACCAATACAAATAATTTATTCTACAACAATAGTATCATTAGTATCTTCGATAAAAAACAATTAAAATGATTTTTAAATATTTTCACGAAACCTTTACCTATTGTTTTAGAATCTAATATCTAGATATTCTAGATCCTCAAGAAATACTAGTATCTGTGTTAAACTTGATAATTATTTCGGTATAATTTTCTTTATTTCATTACAACAATGGCCAAAAATATGTTGAAAATGATTTGATTATTTCATTGTAACATCTATAAAATTATAAACATTTGTATTATATGAACCTCTTACTTTTATGATTTTTTTTTTATACAATTGTTTGTTATTTTTGGATTTCAAAAATGCTGTTATATTTTAACTTTTACATGCCTTATCAGTTATTTGTACCAATATCAAAAAAATTATATAATGATACAGAAAAAAAAACAAAATTGTGTAATCAAGTATTCAATAACAGGTCTTCGACAAAACTTTATGTCTTGTTAGCCTATATAGAGGTAGAGCTTGAAAAATAATTAAACTCTAAAAAATTCAACAGAAATTCAACTCTGTGTTTTAATTATGTGAACTGTATTTAAAACTAGTCAAATAATGTTTTGAGTACTTTTAGAATATTTAGTTTAAAAAATATTTTGTATTTCACTATTCCCTATTTAGAATATCCTATAAAGTCCTCAAATATTTTATTATTTATCAAAAATTGTATTTTAACATTTTTCCTAGATATTAAATACCTTTTAGTTAACCAAATAAATTTGGAATTAAGTAGTTATTTTAATAAAATTTTAATTCAGATTTTAAGTATAATAAATTAACTAACAATATAAAATTTACATTTAGTATACTTCATTCATTTTTTTAAATTAATATATTATAATTTTTTCTCTATTTTTTATTTTTGTTGAGTTATGTATAGTATATTATAATAATTACTATAGCTCAAATGTGTATTATGTTTATTATATATCAATATGATGTATATAGTTAAAGAAATAAATAGTAATTTTAGTAAAAATGTCTACGGTTTAGTAATTTGTAATAATTATAACCATTTGCCTTTTGTTTTATTATTATTTAGTGTTCTAATATTTCATAGATACCCATAAATATTTATATATTTTTATAAATAAAAATGTTTAAGTGTAAAAGTGTAAGTATAATTATTTTTAAGTATCTTTGATTTTTAATACAAAGATGGATATGGGTAATTTTAAAAAATGCTTTAATGTTTTTGAGTATATTTAACTTAAAATATTTGTTAAAATAACTATAGTGAAACCTTTAAATAACATTCTTGGTCAACAAAAGTTTATCCGTTATTCAGAGAGGGTAAATTCTTGAAATTTGTAAAGGATAAATGTGTAAATGGAAATATATGTGCTAGATTAAACAATGCATATTTAAATAATTATAAAAATAAAATAAAATACATATTCAATACAATGATTTGGGGAAAATTACCTAATATAGAAGCCTTTTTACTATCATAATAGGTATTTTTATACAAATATATTAATTTGAATATAGTTATTTCATTTAATGTCATATTGGGTGTACTGGTAATAATTTATATATATATTTATAGATTTAAAAATAACACTATTAAAATCATTTATAAAATAGTAAAAATACAATAATTTATACATTTTTAAATAAATATATTTTTGTTGCCATTGAAATATCCTGTAATGAGTTTATTTTGGCAATAATTACAATGTATTTAATTATTACATATAATATATATTAATATGAAATTCATGTTATAATACCTATGCTTTTTATCTCAGAAATTAAAATTTTTTTTTGCTCCAGCAGAATTCAATATCATCAATATTTTAAATCAAAAGAACTCCAAAGCAAGTAACTATTGACTTAATTATTGGTATTAAACTATTTTATAAGATCTGGATAGTTATCTAATTTTTTTAAACTCATTTAGTAAATATAAAAGAGTATGAGCTAAATTTAAAATTAAGTCAGTTACATAAATAAATAAATAGTTAAATTATATTAATATATTATTTTACCTAACATTCTATTACCCTTTTTTTCAAAATGATGGATCAAACTATTTCATTTAATTTTAAATCATAATAACTAAATTCATTAAAAAGTATAATTGATTACATATATTATAATATTTAATATTAATCAGTTAAAAGTAAGAATAAAATATTTTATTAAACATATTTTATTTTACTAAATTAGCTAACAGTATTATATTATATCAATATTGTAAGTAAATTAATATGACCATTAATTAAGATTTTCTGCATTCATATTATAATCATCAGTAAAATACCCCATATGACTTATTTAACATTGTTAAGACTGTGTAATAATAATAAAATTATACTAATCACTTACATACAAATAATAAAAACATTTATTTATCGTACATGAATATAACTATCAAAAATTTAAAGATCATCACTTTAATAAAAATTTAAAATATGAGGTATAAAATTGTTTATCTATCATTTATATAACAGTATATAAACAATGAAATTAATACAAATAAAATATATGCAAGTAGGAATATCTTTTAAAATCTTAATCACTAATAACAATTCTTAAATGTTTAACAGTTAAGTTGTTAACTCTTTTCAATACAAATAAGTATAAATAAAAACAAACTTTCAAATTTTAAGTAAAAAAAAAAAAAAAAAAACTTAAAACAATATATAAAAACAAATATTCAAAACTAATTTGTTCATTCACTGGTGTTATCATGTCAAAAGTATGTTACAAAATATTCAATAATGATTATAGAACGAAAATATGTTTTAGTGGTGAACATAGAAAAATAAATCTCAATTTATTATTGAAAAATTACAGGTTTTATTTTCAATTTTTAACATCTTACTTATATTATTAATATCTCAGTAGTGGTACCAAAAGTGTATAAAGGAAGGGCATGATTTTTCAAATTATGAAACTACATAAATGTATGAAATATAAATATTTATATAATAGTGAAGCTGTCGCCCCACAAAAAATAGTAATAAAATTCTATACTATACTTACTTAGTTAATTGATTTAACATCATTCATAGTATAATTTTTAATGTCTTTGTTAATAATTATTTATCTGCTAATATTTATTTATAATTTATATACAGTATAATAGTGAACCAATGCTTCCAATCTAAAAAATACATTTTATAAAAATGTTTTTAACATAAATATTTAATATAATATGGTACCATAGTTAAATAAATAAGTCTTAATACATGATGTATACTTAATTTTAAAAACTAGAACATTAAATCAATATACATTTTAATTTATAAGGAATCAGCATAAATTAGAGGGGGCAATTGTCCTCTTGTCCCTTTTTTATCCACCAATGATGTGACTATACTATCAAATAAACATAACTATAGTATTGTTAATATTAAAAATATAACTTTTGTCACTGTTGTGTGTTGGTTAGAGTCGTGATATCTATTACCATGTTTGCTAAAAACGGTTGCTCCGATTGGGTGTGCTTTATTCGCCGGTGCTTCTTCAGAGTACCACTATCACTGAACGATTTTTCGCAAACATCACATGTATACGGTTTCTCACCCGTGTGGGTACGCTTGTGCTTCGTTAGACCACTGCTATCAGCAAATGATTTATCACAGACATCGCATAAGTAAGGTTTCTCACCCGTATGTATCCTGCGGTGCTTCGTCAGGTTACCGTTAATAGCGAACGACTTATCGCATATGTTACATAAATAAGGTTTTTCACCCGTGTGTACCCGGCGATGCTTTGTCAGACTACCACTATCAGCGAACGATTTGTCGCACACCTCACACGGGTACGGTTTTTCGCCAGTGTGCGTCCGCCGGTGCTTAGTAAGACTGGCGCTAACAGCGAACGACTGATCGCACATGTCGCACGCGTATGGTCTTTCACCAGTGTGCGTTCTCCGGTGCTTTGTCAGATTACTGCTTTGAGCGAACGACATGTTACACTCGTCACAGGAATATGGTTTTTCACCGGTGTGCGTACGCCGGTGTTTAATAAGAAAATCATTATCAGTGAATGACTTGAAGCACATGTCACACGGGAATGGTTTATCGGTAATGTGTGTCCTTTGGTGCTTTGTCAGATGACTGCTTTGAGAATATGACTTGTCGCAAACATCACATGAGTACGGCTTCTCGCCGGTATGCGACCGCCGGTGCTTCGTCAGACTACTGCTATCAGCGTACGACTTTTCACATATATTGCAAGGGTACGGTCTTTCACCCGTGTGCCACCGCCAATGTTTCGTCAGACCATCACTATCAGCAAACGATTTATCGCACACGCCACACGGGTAAGGTTTCTCGCCCGTGTGAGTCCGTCGGTGTCGCGTTAAGTGGCTATTATCAGCGAACGCTTTGTCACACATGTCGCACGGGAACGGTTTATCGCCCATGTGCGATCGCCGGTGTTTATTCAGATGTCTGATTTGAGTGAAAGTCATGTCGCAAAATTCACACGAGTGTGGTTTCTCGACCACGTGTGTCCGTCGATGCTTCATCAGATGGGTGTTATCGGCGAACGATTTGTCACAAATATCACATGGGTAAGGCTCCACGCCTGTGTGTGTTCGTCGGTGATTAGTTAGATGGCTGCTTAAAGTGAATGTCATGTTGCAAATGTTGCATGTGAACGGTTTATCGCCTTCGCGCGTTTTTGAACCACCCGGAAGATCACTCATTTTAGTTGTTGGTCCAGCTACTAACGTCGTCACGCGTATTTTATCGGCTTCTACTAAAATATACACCAAAGGTCATCAACTTGATTAATTTTATAGACTAAGTTTATGTTCGAATACATACCAAATTGAATTTATTTTTTGTACAATAACGTAGTAACTAAATAATTTGGGTATTACGAGTTTGAAGACGGCGGTTTGTGATTTGTTGATACATCAGGGTTTCACAGTCAATTGTGAAATTGTGAATCAGCATGTTGTATTCCTGCTAAAAAACAAAATAGAAATAAAAAATGAATAAGACTGACATCATGCCTGGGGAGGTATTGAGCATGGTGATAACATTGTACAAGCATTAATTGTATATATATTTAAAATAAAAGATAGGAGAGAGAACAGTAAAATTGTCGAAGTGGATTGTAATTCGATTTTAATATAATTTAAATAAGAATACACTAAAACGATATCCCATATTATAAGCTTTTATTACTTGGACAGTTGAACAGCATATTGTTTTGTTTCTAAAACATAATATATCGATACGATGATAATGTGAATTAAAAACCACGTATAAAATAATATAAATACATTTTAGTCTTAAAATTCTAAGTTGATTAAATTGAGCTTAATCTAATTTAACTATACGTAGGTACTTAGTGATTATTTGATTAAATATGCGAAACGGTCAGACCAATATTTTTGTTAATATTTTATATTTAATCATTTTAGAAAAGATATGAATATATAATTTTTATTAACCATTGTTTTTCATGATTGTTAAGTTTATATGAAGTGAAAATAAAGTAAATAGCAAAAAATTACATTTAAAACATTTTTAAATCAAGCATTATACAATCGGCTAGTATTTGTTAAACGTGAAAAATTCGGAGTTTTTAATATTTTCATAATTTAAAAAGTTCAAATATGTATTCAAATATTTACTCTTACAAATGTTTTTTTGGAAGAAATCTTTAATTATGCATTAAACACTCATAATTTGAAAATAAATTACACTAATTTATCTACAATACTTAATTTCATATGTCTTCAATTTTCAACAATAAATATCTACAGTTTTTGTTGTGCGTTAGATTAGGTTATCACAGGTAAACAATTTATAATTGTTTTTATTAGACTTACGAGTTACGAGTTAATCATAATTTCAAAATTTAACTGTCTTAATGTATTAACTATAAAAACAATTTAAACTGTGGGTTACTGATATGGATGTGTTAAATTTAAGTTCAATAATATATTGTCTACGAAAAACCATTCTAAGCAGAGACAGCATAGGTTGTCAGCATATATTTAAACAAAGTTTATTTTATGATATGGATGTTAAAGTCAATGATTTTACTTTTAGTATCACAGTAGGTTGATATAATTTTTCTTAGATAATGTAGTATTTAATTATTATAATCATATTACCGTATTAAATTAATTTAAATAACTTAAAATGTAAATACCGTAAAACAGTAAAAATAGGTTAAATAGTATAATTAGATAATATTAAAAAAAAAATTCCATATTGCATTATAATACAATATAAATAAAGGTTCTAAGTTCTCGCAAATAATGTTTTTAAATAATAATAATAATAATAATAATAATAATAATAATAACATTGTTATTCATCATTTAAACTGTAAATAAGTAATTTCCTCTAAATTTGAACTTAAAATGTTTAAAAAAACATTTTTTAAATTTAATGGTTTTAGTATAAAATACTTATTTATGAGGAATATTGTATAAAATTTTCAAAATTTAAGTATAAAAAAAAAGTTTTTATGAATTTCTAACTAAAAAAATAGTTTGTATTTTTTTGCGATTTTGTTCAAATTCCAACTTTAAACATTTGTAAAAAATTTTTGTGACTATATAATATAAGTTCAATATTTTTCATTGTGAAATTAATGATTTATGAAACTTTGTAACCAATTTTCAATCATTATTTCTCTATTCAGTCAATAATTTTTTGTCAACAATTTATAAAGAAAAATCGAAAACTTCTATTTTTTTTTTTTAATACATCAAAAAGAGTCAAAATATTTTGAGAATTATACTATGTGTAGAAAATAATAATTTAAACACATAAAATAACTTATGCATAAAAAATAATAATCTACACGTTAACGTTCATAAAAAATTAATGCAACTTTTTTTTTTATAGGTAAAATTGTAGAAAAACTAGTGATTAATTTTGTATTAAATCTTCAAATTTTGGATATAAAAAGAGATTTATTCCTGAATTTCTGAAAGCAAAATAACTTGAAAATGTTCATGATCTTAAAAAATGCTTTCAAATATTTTTTAGTGTTGAGAATTTATAAAAAAATATTACAACTACATTTTCGATACTTTTTTAGTTTGTAAATGAACAAATTTTGAGGAACTTTGTATTCAAATTAAATCATTTTTACTCAGTTATAAATTTTTAACTGATATTTATAGAAATAAAATAATGAAATCGCTATTGTTTCTTTGCTTCGTAAATATAATATTAATTCAAAATAATTTTGTTAATTTTAACAACTATAGTCATATTAGCAATATCTTCACTTTTTTTTTTTATTTTTATTATTTAATAGGTACTTAAAATTGTATTTCAGCTATTGTAGTCTTTTATAATCTTGTTTATTTTGTTTACTTAATAGTTTATATTTTTAAAAATACCTATTATACATAAAAATTGAAAACAAACAATATAACAACTGTTAACTTATTTCAAAAGTTTGCTAACTTTTTGTGGCAAAACTCATTTTGGAAATTATTTAAATTTTGGCGACTCACAATAATATCAATGACCTTTTTATTTATTTATTTGAGAAAAAGTAACACATGTCTAAAATATTATATTATTTAAACATATAACGCGGCATACTAAAAATATGATCGCGACCCAGAGTTTGAGAACTTTTGATCTAGTACTTTAGGTAGGTACTGTATCTATAATAAGTATACATAGTGTATAAAATAGACTTAGAACCATTAAAAAAATAAAAATAAAATACTAGAATAATAATGAATATTAGTTTTAGTGATTATAAACCTACGATAATAAGAAAACCGTGATGACCATACCAGGAAAAAGAGCTGGCGTTGCTTCCGCGATTCTCTTTTACTTAAAATTACATTAAAAACAAATTGGTTATCTAAAGACTCGAATTTCGTAAGAAAAATAGTATTATTAAATAAGCTTTTAGGTAAAATTTAAAAACAAATTGGATTCGAAAAACTAAAAATGTGTACTAATTTTAATACACAATATGAGTATATTTGCGAAATATTAATTGAAAATACAAACAAACAAAAATCACTATTTTTTATTATAATAAGGGCTTGCATTTGAAAAAAAAAATTGTTATACGTTATTTACAATTAAAACGTTATACAAATTTTGTATTTATCGTTATTCAGAATTAACATTTTTAGCATATTATATAATTTTTTAATTAAATAATTGAAATTAATTTTTTTTTTTAATCATATATAACGTTTTGCGTTATGTTTTGTTTAATGATAATATATATTATATTTTGTTAATCGTTATGTTTTGTTTTGTGTTATTTAATTATTCAAATTTATCGTTTTCTGTTATAATTACGTTTACAAATTTCAATAATTTTTTGTCAAATATAACGTTATTATAACGTTTCAACGTTTGCAAGCTATGATTATAATTAATAAATACATATTATTAATTAAATTGTAAAACCTATAAATCAGATTTCATTTATAAGAAGTTAAAATAATAATAACATTTTGATAACAATGTATATGTATAATTACATTTATTTAATTTTATGTAATATATGTGCTGGTCTTAAAGTGAATCTTATAAGCGGTATCCGCTGTAATAAAAGAAATAAAATCAGATGTTGGAGTTCGGATTAAAATTTTAAGTTTCAAAGTCAGTGTCCTCAAAAACAAACAGTAGACATAGGATCTCAAAGAAAATTGAACAGATGTAACGTTATTAAGAATAAAATAAGTTTAATTTATGAAATAGGGAAACAATTACTATAGTGCCAACAATGGTGTTAAATAAGAAGATAAAAATGGAAATGGATTCAAAATTCTATAAATCTCTAGTAAACAAAGATATTTATTTTAAAATATTTTTTGATATACATACCTTTAATGCAATAGTCAGTTTGTTTTATTAACAAGAGTAAAAGTAAAATTGTAGATTTAAGCTAGACTTCACTGTTAAATTAGATTTCCTTTTTATATAAATATAATATAAACTATGTTCACCTAGAGTAGTATTTTAATATTTTAAGTTCAATTATTCATTTAGAAGAGATATATAATAATTTAATCAAATTTTATATATTACACACACTGCCATCAATTATACAAATATTATACTAAAGACAACAAACTATGTCAATAACAAATTATATAACTAAAGTAGTGTTAAAAAAAATAAGTTAAATTTATTTTTGATAAAATGTTTACAGGTGTATAATGTTGTTTGAATTAAGTGACAAGGTGGACAAATAAATAAACAGGTTTGTGAGTGAAGGTGTCTTAAAACAAGCAATGTTTATTAAATGTCAAATGATTCTAAAAAATGATAGTAGTGTTTGAATTTGTGTTAATTTTAAAGTAGTCATTAATAATTACTATAAAATAAATAAATAATGATATTTATTAAGTTTAAAAAAGTTTAGAATCATCATTTTCCTAATATTGAGAATTTATTTGAAAGTATATAAGTTTTGGATTTGTCAAGAGCATATCAACAACTACTAATCAAAGGAGTATTTTATAATAAAAAAATTATAAGATTTATTTAGATATATATATGTTTGGAGTAGTAAGTTATTTATCAATTCATTACAAATCAGAATAATCAGATATTATTAGAAGAAAATTTATATTTTTAGTTAGATAGTACTTTAATAAATGAAAAAAAATGTAAGCAAAAGAATGATTTGGTATTATATAGTTTAAATCAGTTGAAAAATGCATATTTTTTTTTTTTTTGATAAGAAGTAAAACATTTAAGTAGACATTATTATATTTATTTTATTCCTTAAAAAAATAATTCAGGATTCCATTAAGTCTTTCATATAGGGTCCAATAATCCAGTATATATTTATATACATATATATATATATAGCTTATACAATAACAATTAATTTAGCATTGACACAAAAAAAGAAGTGTTAATAATACATAAAAAAACAAATTACCAAATAATGACTAAATATTAACAGATGAAGGTATTCTTTTAAAATGATAGATATTAGAGGAAGTTAGAAAAGTTAGAAAACCAAATAACAAGTTATTTGAGGGTTAAAAAATATATTCCTTTTATTAGTTTTAAATTTCATGTGTTATTCAATTATTAAAAAAGGATGTCAATTTTCATTGGAGAAAGAGGGATGTGTAGTAGTTTTTTGAAAAGAGTAAATATTTATTGACATAAAATCAGTATAGTGAAAAAGATAGAAATGTATTATATTAGTAGGTTATGCTATTATATTATGATTTAAATGTTTTAATTGTAGTAGAGCCTCTAAAAAAAGATAAAATATTATCTTAAGTATATAATTATATAAGTATTAAAACAATGTTTTAATAAATTAGTGAAAGAAGTTAAATATTAAATTGGGTACTTAGGATGATCCTTAATTTTTTGACAATTAAATTATAATAGTAAGGAGTACATTTTGACAAAGTATGATTGTATGAAAAATGATGAATAGCATTTAAGTAAAAAACAATTAAAAAACAGAAAGTCAGACAGCTTGTTTAAATAGTTAAAATTATATAAAAATATACTTTGTAAATAAAAAAAATAAATAAGATTTGTTACAGTTAAAAAATACTAGACAATACATATAGTAATAGAAATACCATGGTTAACAGCAAATAAATTGTAAGATTTTGTATAAATTATAATCAACTGATTCATCAAATAATATTATTAAATTAAATCATGTATTAAAAATGAAAATAGAAATTTATTGAAAAAAAAAATAAAATCAAATAATAAAATCATGCAATAAAATTTAAATCATCTTAAAAGGACATCACATGCACATGTTTAGTCTTCATCTCATAAAATATGTACAACATATCATATTTGTGTTCAACAGAATCAATTGTGTGTTGTTAACTTATATATCAAAATGTATTGACCTATCGTACATTTTTAACTGAAGCATCTCGTAAACTGTTAATAATTTAAATTTTAAAGTGAGTAATTGCATTTTTAATTTTTAATGTTTTATAGTTATATTTCACTAAATGAAATATTAATAAAAGCCTAAGAAATGCTCTAGATAATATTCTTACTTTTAAGTTTAATTATAATTTATAAGTCAAAAATAGTCTAATATTAAAGCTGACAACACAAAATTGGTTTTATTTCACAGACATTTGCAAAATAGTAAAATTGTAAGTTGTAGATATCACATACAAATGTGGCATTCTTATTAAGGATAAATACAAATAAAGCATGAATATTTGACACCTATGGTATTTATCGAAAGTAGATGTTTGAAACCTATGTAAAAAATTTTGACAGTGATTTTTCATATTTATTTTAATATTATTACAGTATAATTCAATATTTATAACTAGCTAGTAACATTGAATAAAAATTATGTAGGTAATATAAATATATAAATAGAATAGGCACTAATCAGTAACTGTTATAAAATTGTTGTCTTAGCAAGAAAATTGGAAAATTATTGTTTTATTTAAATAGTTTTATTAACAACTATGAATGTAGACTAAAAACATATTTCTCCTATGATAATAAGATTCTTTGTATTTAAATATTTTTTTTTTTTTATCTTGTTCCAAGTAAATAAATTAATACTTTGTTATTAATAAATAAATATACACCTAAATTGTATATATAATAAAAATATGATTTTTTTTACTAAGTAATTGATATTTACTATAATATATGTTTTTTAATTTTTGTTGCAATTGTTATTGCACAGTTTTTCTTTAGGAATAACTAGTAATATTAAATTTGAATGTAATAATCTATTAAGGTCCGTATTCACTATAATGGTAGCGGTAAAATAAAACTGGGTATTCGTTTGGCATGCGTGACCTACCGGGCTGATAATTAATTTAAAAACATACAAATAAAAAATTATATAATATTAGGTTATTTTATTATTACAGATTATGGATTACATTCAATATCAGTCAAAATTAATTTAAAAACAGTCAAATTATAAATTATATAATTAGGTTATTTTATTATTACAGAATATCAGTACACAATCCATGTATCAGTTCCATGCATTTTTCGTAGGATTTTAGTTTTTAATACTCCCCATGAACATTCAATTGCATGTGTATGAGCTACAGTAGTTGGATCAACAACATTTTTTAAATGGTTTACTGTTTTATGATCATTGATCATAGCCTATATTTTTTAAACAAGAATATACTCTCCATTCATATAATATAGATAATTGTCTTGGTAGGTCACACACTAAACTCAGTAATACAGGTAGGTCACATACTAAACGAATACCTAAAACTGTTTTGTTAAAATGCAATGTAGTTGATACAATTTACCACTACTTTTATTATCATTACAGTGTGTGTGTGTGTGTGTGTGTCATTAATAATAAAACGAATATGAAATGTAAAAGTACACGTAGTGTCAAAAGTTTACTGGCAGACTGTAGTAAACACTATTAGGTGTCATATTATGCAATATTTCATTTCAGATAAATAATAAATGTTTTTTTAATAATATAGGTACCTGAATGGTTGAGTACATTTGAAACAGTTTAAGTATTCAAGAGACTTGGATAATGACATATGGTCGATGGAAAGTCACCAACAAGTAAGCTAAGTTCCGTTGAGATTCGGCAACGAAAAGTATAAAACAATTAAATATTATTAATTACCATTAAATGTAATTTATTGTATTAGAATTTAAAACATCATGGTTTGTTTTTTGCATTTTGTTAAAACATTTATAACATTTTAAAAAGCAGATAATATAGTGATTGTGTTAATGATAGTGTATTATCAGTAACGTCAGTTGTAATATTGTTGTTGATACCTTTACAGTGAATAACCTAAAAGGACATTATCGGTAGTTGGGTATCTAAACAGTAAACTCGTGAAATATTATGTTCCCGCATTCTTTTAAAACAAAACGGACACCAATTTATTATTATAAATACATGTGTCCGATGTACATCGTTAAGTCGTAAGAACGTAGCATTATTTTTATACCTTATATCTATCTAACTTATATAAGCTTATCTTATACAGTACCTATTGAGCTGGTGTAAATGATATAACAATTTTAATGATTTAGATGGTTTCATTAGTTAATATAGGTAAGTAACTAAATACCAATAAGTATTAAATTTCCACTAACACAAAGACGTCAAAATTCAAGAATTCCTACATTACTATTCTTGAAATCTCGATCTGAAAATGTTCATAGATTCACTGTTTACTTCTAAAGGCTCGCTTTATTAGGTGCAATATTCATATAGGTAGGTACATCCGCTTCAGCGTAGATTAAAATGGCGCCGTCCTCACGACCTCCTTTGTTAAATACACATACATCTATGTATATAACATATAGGTAACAGTTAAAACTTTTATCGTAATTATTATTATAAAAATTGTCTATTAGCTCTACGTTGTGGTTATGATTTATATTTACTAATTGGCATAACCGACTTTACTGTAAGTATATTACCTATACTGGCTACTGTTATTTTCTTTAATTTTCACAATTTATTTTTATTCTTGTCCTCGTTATTATTATTATTTAATTATCACGTAGGTACAAAAATTTTAAATGTTGTATCATTGTAAACATCCTTAGGACCGTAGATGTAAATATTATGTGGATTATCATTAATAATAAAAAAAAAAATAGATAAAACATTTCCAAAATAAAATATAATATTACCATTGATAAATATACCTAAATATTGTATAATAATATTACCATAGATTATTGACTGGATGACTGATAGGTATACTACTGTATATTAGAAAATATGTTTTTAAAATCAGAAAATGTATTTAAAAGTTATTTAAGTGCACACCTACTTATCAAAAATGTATTTATGTACCTATAAAGTTTCATTATAAAACTATAAAATTTCGAAAGATTTCCTGACATTGCCTCTTAGAAATGTCTGAAATTTAATATTATTAGCTATAGGTAAGTACTTAATATTGGTAAAAACTAAAAATAACTTTGTTTTAAAATCGTATTAAAATAACTTTCAAGTTAATGGACACAAAAAAAAAAGATGCGTTTTTAATAGTCTACTTTTTCATCTAGACAATTGTATACATATAAGTATATAACACAATCCTAACTTAACCACAAATAGAAGCAATAAATAAAATAATACAATTTTAAAAATAAACAGATTTATGTCAACCATAATTTTGAAATTAAGTACTAGAAAATTATAAATTAAAAAGGTAAGTAAGTGGGCACCGCTCTGCAGTACATTAGGTGTTGAATGGATCACTATTATGGGTATGTTAAATTTAAATTCAATAATGAATCATTGTATATGAAAAACTATTTTGATCGGAAACACTTTGTCAGCTTATATTTTACTGAGTATTTTTTGAAATGTATATTTTTTTAATTTTTTTTTTTTTTTTTATATAGCTATTAAAGCCATTTATTTTACTTTTATGTTTTAGATTTTATAATTTTAGTATGAACTACTTATGCGAAACCTTGTATTATATTTTGAAAATTACCACATATAGAAAATAATAATACAAATATTTGATGACAATTTTAAGTTTCTGCAGTTATTCGTTTTTGAATTTTAACCATAGAACTTAATATAAGATCTGTGTAGAAGTAGTACCTATACTAGTAGTAAGTCTATGGTTCTAACAAAATAAAGAAATCAATTTAGTCAAAATGCAGTAATTTAGCGTAAAATTATTGTTTATAAATTATCGTGTTTACAAACATACATACACACACACACATACACACAAACCATACTTTATTGAAAAATCAATATATTTATCGCTCTGCTTAAAATTTAAAACAAAAATTTAAATAATATGTACATTAGTCACAGATAGCTAATAATTACTGTTGTACAAATGTATTTAAAAAATAATAATAATAAAATAATAATGATTTTTAAAATGAATGGTTTTTATAAAGTAAGATTTAATTCTATCTATAGGCAAGGGCATAGCTAGTGGAGGCAAGGTTTGCAATTGTCTTCCTTAATAGTTATTCATAGTTAACAAATACATTGTATTTTAACGAAATTTTAAATTGAGAAAGGAATGTTTGTGAATTTACTACTGCACGTTAAACATGTCTTGATTATTGGTTTGTTACTCCTCCCCGATGGAATTTCTAGTTACATTGAACTTTTTTTTTTTACTTTGTAAATACTATTTTTGATATTAAACAAAGCTTCAAAAATCGTGGCACCAATTAGTGACCGGAGTAAAAATATAGGTACATATAATGAATTTACTTCGAATTGCTAAAAATTGAGAGGGTTAAATTTTAAATTGTCACGTATTAAGACACCTACAGGTATGACCAAAATTTTACTTCTAATTATCGATATTTTCAAACTGTTGAGATTTCACACTATACTATAATATATACTAATTAGATAGACTAACAATCATCAAATTTATTCAAATTAAACAAATCCAATACAATGACCTACATTTGATGCCCACTTTTTACACATATTATTTTATTGATCCTATATCAAATATTGTTATTTTCACTAATAACCAATATCATTCTCATTATCAGATCATAAAAAAAAATTTAATTATGTATATATGTAAAAATGTATAAGACTTGTAAAAACATGTGATATGTTTAAGCTTAAAATATTTTAAGCATGATAAATAAAAAAATAAATATATTATTTAAATGATTCGAACTATTAACAAATTTGTAAGAATTTTATCTATATTTAATCGTCAGTTTTTTACGATATTTTAATTTTTAAGCGAGTTATGATCATAATTTAGTATATTTAGCATATATTTGCATTATTATTATTCAAGAGTAGGTACTTCATAGCCATTTTCTTTGAAGTCTCCTCGGTGGTTTATTAGGGATGGTGACATTTTAAATTATTATAGTTTAAAAATGCTCATAAAAATCGATATTCAAGCATAAATTACATTTTTATCTATAAGTTGTTTGCCCTCTCTATATTTTGAACACCTAAGTCATTCAGTATTCAGTAGTTGAAAGTTTTTCATAAGTCTCAATAACTCCAAATTATTTATAGTTTAAATTCCTATTATAGTAAATATTTACATGGTAGGTAGAAAATATGTTCACCAAAAATATTCTATTTAATAGTTATTAATTATTATAATAGTTTATTTACATCATAAATAATTAATGACTATATTGTTATTACATTTTGAGTTAATAATATACACTGTTTACAATGGTTTAAAATTAATCTAAATATTTTGAAAATATCATTGTGTAATTTGTGTATAGTATGGTAATATAATAATATACTTACTTAAACATTTTAATAAGATGTTATGTTAGAAACCATAGTCAACTTAAAGCATATTTTACAATATTTCAGTTACCTGAAATTTTGAATTTTGGGAATTTCGGGATACATTATAGGGTACAAAATTTTTTGAAAATTTCAAATAAAAAAAAGGGTATCGTGGGTATGTTTGATTAGTAACGTCACTGACAAGTATATTATCTAAATAGAGGAGTCAATATAAATTTATAAATATAACTAATTAATAATACATATAGTGTAACCTATTATATATTATATATATTATATTCTTTATACTTTAGTATTTAATTCACATAACCCGTAACATTAAATTATTAAAAACATTTCATAGTGCGAACTTCTTTAACTCTCAGGCATTAACATCATAATATAATGTGTAGTGTTTAGTATAATTAATAGTGTTACATTACATTGTTGAAGGTGATTAAAAATTTTAATAACAACTATCTGAGTTAAATTCATTAAAATGAAAATCACGAGTCTAAAGTTTAAAGTCAACAAACAATACTATCAATAAATTAATAGTATAAACGATAATAATAATTTTAAAATATAGATTATACATTATACATTGGTATAGTTAGGTACCTACACTTTATTGTGATACACACACACACACACACACACACACACACACACACATATATATATATACAATATACATAGGTAACAGTCAACTGAATAATGATTACGAAATAGGTCAAATTAATACAAAAAAAAAAAAAATTATTAAAACCCACACGGTTTTTATCAGTTATATATACTTGCAAGACACTTAACTGTAGTAGGTACGCGTACAGTTGTGGAGTTAAAAAATTAACTTTGAAACTAGTTAACGCTCATTGCCCTCTGCTGAATATCTTAAAAATTGAGCATAATAATATACCTGTCGGTATACAATAAAAGAACGGTTTTCTGTGCACCGTCGAAATTTAACAAAGAATTGCGTTCATAACCGAGTAAACGAATCAGCCGCACTACAGCAGAAGGTGTGTAGAGCTACTATTGGTAAAATAATATGTATAATATTATAATAGATATCTATACCTACGCATTATTCCGCGAAATGTGCGTACAGTAATTTAATTTTTTTTTTTTCTTGAAACCGCATATAATTTCGGCAAAAATTGTACACGAATATTGAAGTATAATATATTATATTATTATACACACGTCTTTCGAAATATTTTACACGCAATAGCCACTGAATTTACTTACGCCGTTGAGGTACGTATATTTAATATTATGTACATACTCACACATACACGAGCAGGCGGCTAGTCTAGTGCGGGTGCCTATTTACGCGCGTATATAAACAAAATAATTTATAATATATTTTATAATATATGTAATAGTAATAGTGAGGGACGGTAGCCGGGTTCGTTGTATACAATATTAGGT